GGGGAAAAGAGATAAGTAAGGTCTGTTTATTCCAGCACTGACTCAATACCCTAAAGCGTTTGACATTCACGTTGTACTAAAGCTGGCCAGTGTAAAATATAGAAAGAAACAAACACAAGGATTCACCAATCTGAGTGTAGAGGATTAATCATTTATTAAAAACAAAAGGAGTATGAAAACATGTAAGAGCAATCTTCAGATTGGCGCCCCCATGTTTTTGTTTCTATTTTCAACAGAGTATTGTTTCACTCTATGGTGAGCTGCCTTCACCTGTAACCCTCCTAAGGATTCAAGAACATTATGGATTCCTTTGCCCACATGAGATTTATTTGTACTGCTTGTTGTACCTCAGATGTTCATGCCTTTTTTTTTAGTATTTACACTATATATTTCCCTCTCAGCGCCAATTGTCTATTTGTTGTAAACGATAGAAAGGTCAAGGAAATCAATTGTGTCTAGGTAGAGAACAACCTTAGAAATAATGTAGGTTTGAACTTCGATATGTGATCACATTCCCTCTGTTCTCTGTTGTATAAGAGGAGAGAGAACATGTATTACAATAATCTTTTCAGCGACTGGCTTAGTGCAAAGAGATGTAGGAGGTTTAATTGTTGGACTCAGCTGGAAGCCACAGTTTAGGAAGCAATGTATGTGCACCTTGGTTAGCAACAGGACAATATGGTAACCCTGATGTCAGAGATGAAAATTGTGTAACATCTGACCTGGTTTAGTTCCACAAATAGACACACATATAACCATACAATTACTTGACCACATTTTTTCTTTATTTCACAGGGGATGCTGGCTTTCCGCAGCTGATGTGGCTGATGGCTCCAATCAGGTACCCTCAGAGCCTGGCCGAACAAAATTACAATAAGGCCCTGCCAAAAGCAGAGCAACGGTGGAGATGACCATTGGCCTCCTTAAACAGAGGTTTTTATACTTGGCCAGGCCTGGGGTGAGTTACTATACTCTCCTCAGAAGTCTTCCAGGATCATCCTCGCCTGTTGCCTCCTACGCAACATCTGCCTGGCAAGGAATGATTCCTGGGAGATGACTGAGGAGAGGGAGCCAGAAGTCCCTCAGCTGTGGGTCTCCCGAAGGCGGAATACCGCAGATGGTGTGGCCACTCGAGCTGACCTGATTGTCCGCTTCTTCACATGTACGTATTCTACCATAGGTAGAGATGAAATTTTGTTGTACTTGAAATCAATCAGGCCTCGTTTTGGTCTTGGCCAATCGATATCTTAAATAAAGTACTATCTAGTCAGTTCCTAGAATTAGCTAGTATATCTGAGCTCGGACAATATTAATGTTAGTAACGGACTACAATATTACCAAAAATAATCCACACAAGGATCCACAGATCCAGGTCTTATTTATTGACAAAGAAAGTAACTGACTTTATGACAGAGCATATAGAAATCCGAGAGCAAAGATTAGACGTAATGTAAGTTTATCCTCTAAGTTAAAGCAGATTTCCACTTGATTTGTAAAAAAATAAATTCAGCAGATACAAAAACTTTAGCTGCTGACTTGTAAAATACAGACCCTTACATGTTCCACGATCCAGCGGTGTCCTCGCCATGGCTGGTTTCATCAGCCATCTTCTCTCCCTGGCATCTTCAGTGTGGGCAAATGGCTGGGACAGCATGCGGCTTCACAGCTGGGTGCACACTGCACATACGTGAGTAGCGCTGTCATGTGTCCCAGAAGACTATGGGGGGGGGGGAGGACAGCTTCCGCTTCCAATCACCGCGGATGTGTGGAAGCGGGTACCTGTCAATTTTGGGGACTCGCTCCCCAAAGGTGCCAATCCTTAAAGGGGAGCAGGGAACATGTGTTAATGCGGAACTTACCCTTTTGGGTGGAGCTCCACTTTAAGTACCAACCGCTGGTTGGTCTATGGATAGAAATGGGTATGAGGGGCCATGGCTGCCAATGACATTTATGCCACTCTAAAAGCAACACCCATTCAATGCCTGGGAACCGGCCCATATTGTTCTCTGCCCGAGGAGTTAGCATTGGTAAATTAGAAGGGGGCATCACTTCCAAACCCCAGGAAGTACTGTGCTACCCTGAACCCTCCAGGAAGTAAGTCATTGGCTCCACCAGGGGGGCCCGCTATATTGCCATGAATCTTCCTGCCCCAGGGCAGCATCACAACCCACATTGGCCCCCCTTTTGATGTCAGGAAATCAGCCACTTTGCAAATTCACACCACTCAGAGGTCTGCGCTCCTGCACTTTTACCTCCATAAATCAAGGGGGGGGAACCTATGCGAGAACATCCTTTGGGAGATGACTTCCCATTGGCGACCCCTTGTAGCAAACACCCTGCTGTGTCAACTGATTTGCTTGTTGCCTCGCAACAGTACTAGATGGTAACTTTGAGGGCTATCCCTCACATGGACACAGATGTTAACCACTTGCCCTCCTGAGGATTCCCCTCCCCCCTTCCTGACCAGGCCATTTATTGTGTTCAAGCGCTGCCTTACTTTAACTGACAATTGCAGAATCATGCAGCGTTGCACCCAAATGAAATTTACATCCTTTTTATCCAACGAATTGAGCTTTCTTTTGGAGTTATTTGCTCGCCTGTGGCTTTTTTAATTTCTTGCGCTAGCTACAAAAAAGACCAACACTTTGGAGAAAAAAAGCAATATTTTTGAGCGCAAAATGTATTCTGCTCCATGTCTTTTCTCCCAATACATGTAAATTAATTGTTTGCCGTTAAAGTTCTAGCGTCTACAAATGGCAAAATATATACTGTTTTTATTTTTTTATGTTTTATTTTTACTAGTAATGGTGTAATCAGCGACTTATAGAGGGCCTGAAGAAAAATTAATAGAGGCAACAATAGCAACAAACACAGAAAAGAAATACCAAAAAACTAAAAAGCTATTAAAAAAAATAAATAAATTACAGCTGCATTTTCTCACCACCTAGCGACCATATCCGGCATTGCTCCTAGAAATGTGTCTATGTTTCCATATTTACGAACAGAATTCCGTCTATGTACTAGATGCTTTTTCAGACCACTGAAAGGTCTTCATTGACTGAACTGAGTCTGGCTGAATGTTACGTATCTGCTGTTAGATGCTATCCTTAGTAAATCAGGGCCATAGTGACAGCCAGCCACTGTTTGTGTCTCTCTCTCAAATTTTTCCTATCAGCAGAATACCGATAGGGCTATATTTCGGTGGCCGAAATTTCGGTGCGTTCCTAGCTTGGATGCAGCTGCTCGGCTGTGGAAACCCATTCCATGAAGCTCTATGCACTGTTGTTGTACTAATCTGAAGGCCACACGAAGTTTGGAGGTCTTTAGCTATTGATTCTTCAGACAGTTGGTGAGTTCTGTGCAGTGTGCGCTTCAGCATGCGCTGGCTGTGGAACATTTAGTAGCAAGGAAATTTCATGGATGGACTTATTGCACAGGTGGCAACCTATCACGGTACCACGCTTGAATTCACTGAGCTCCTGAGAGTGATCCATTCTTTCAAGAAGGTTTGTAGAATAAGTCTGCATGCCTAGGTGCTTGATTTTATGCACCTGTGGCCATGGAGGCGATTGGAACAGTTGAATCCAAAGGCTTTGGAGGGGGTCCCAATACTTTTGGTAATACATCTCCCCCCCACATAATCTCTGTTCTTGCCAAGTCACAAAGGCAACTTCTCCCCCATAGCCACTATGACTTTTGAAGTTTGTACAGCTGTGCAAGCTACACCCACACAACCCATTCACAGAGATTCGTTAATGAATGTGCAAGACCCATATGTCACCATGGCAGACCAGCTTTTATAATTTGTCAAAGACAAGTGCAGTGATGACCGCACGCAGTCCACTGACAGACAAACACAAAAACCAATGATAAGCACACCTCAACATTGTAAGCAGTCATTTCTGAACCTCCACACAGCGACTGGTGCAAGCAGTGCTGAAAAACAACTCCTTTTGAGCTTTGCATGGCTAGTCATGGCCTTCAAGAGGATCAGATCCAAAATTCATTAAGTCATTTACAAATGTCAGTTTTCTAATGGTCCTAAATACTAGAGTATAAACAAGGTGTTACATTATATGTATTGCAAACTATGCAGCTACAAAGTCCTAGGTGTAGAGAAAGTAATCTAAATGCAGCCATCACAGGTTGAAACAAGTTACAGAAATCAAAAAATTAAGGATAAGTGTGATCAATTACAGAGCCCATCCACCAGCACTAGAAAATTATCACCAACATCCAGCAAAGAGTTGGCACATCTTCCAAGTTGTTGCTTGGACTAGATTTCTGTCCACTCATTAATAAAAAACACAGGCGGTAGATCTTTTTCCCCCTACTTTAAAAAAACAAAAACAGTCACCTGTTAATACAGAGTTCACAATAAAATCCTCTGAGCAACTTTAGTTCAGACTCCAACATGACTTTACTGGAGCCTTAAAAACATCCCACAAGCAGAATGAGGTATCAAGGGATCTTCAAAAAACAAAAAAAAGCAAAACCTGCTGCCCAGCAGGTTGATGGTCCTTGTAGGGTACACATTAAAAACCTGATTTTTAAGGAGTGCAGTTATTAGTCACTTCCCAAGTCATTAGAATTCTGCAAATAAGCCATCCCACTGGCTTTCAGTCTATAATAATCAATGCCCTCCACCAAGTTGGAAGAAACTGTACATAAAAGATCAGTAAAGAACAGATTAAAAGAATGAAGGTTTTCCAGCCAGCCTCACTTTCACTCTCAGCTATCTTGCCTCTGGACACAGTTGCAGTCTTTTCCCCAGGCTTAAAAAAAAAAAAATTCAGTTTGCTCTAATGAAGTTGGCCATGTCAGATACTTGTTCGGGAAAGACAACAAGAGTGGGCAGTACAGTACTTAGAAGGAATCTTTTTCTGCAAGAGAAAACTTAGCTGTGAGCCTGCAGTTGGGCTGACCAACCCACTAGAGACTGAGATGAAAGATGTAGGATGGATGGAATCTACGGGGTGGGTCCAGCCCCCCCCCCCATTTTAATTTTTCCAGTAGTCTTTAGTTTCACTGCCTGTTTCATTCAAAATGATTGTCCTGGCCAGGGCTTCTGTAACAGCATAGGGGTTACAGTTGGCTGCTGGGCGGCGGTCTTCAAAGTAGCCAAAGCCTTCCTGTCTAACCTGACGTGGGATACGGTTTGCCACACCAGCTGAGAATTCATGGATGTTGGAGGTTTCGTGCTGCCCCGTGAGGCGCCGAGAGTTGTCCTTGCCACCTCCTGGGTCATAGACACATATGTGGCAGTTGTGACGCTTGCCTAGCTTCTCAATGGCCTCTTCAATGTGTCTGGTGGGACAATAAGAAAACATTGAATCAAACTTGTGTGTAAAACAGGTCATTGTACAAGCTTAATTTGACACCATTACACAGATATAATTGGTCATTGACAACAAGGGCTTGTCATTTAGTAAAAAATGTGCAATAGTGAACCATTCCAGGTTGTGAAAATCACTCATCCATTGAATTTGACTACTAAATTTAAATAAAACATTGCATTAGACAAAAGGGTTTACTGTAAATGGTAACAAAACCAGAAGCTAGGTTTGACACCTTGGCTCTATTGGTAAAGGGCAAACTTTAACAAATATAAAAATCAATTAGAATTCTTAAAAAGTAGTTGTAACAGCTCAAGATTTTTTACCTTCATGTATTTATGCAATCTATTCTAGCTTCCCCCCCCAGCATCCCCCCGAAATACTCACCTAAGCCCCCCTCCAGTGCGATGTGCATTGGAGTCTCAGCTAGCCCGGGACTCCTCTCCTCATTGGCTGAGACAGAGCCGAAGCCATTGGTTCTCACTGCTGTCACAGTCAGTGAGCCAAGAAGAGAGGGGGTGGGGCCAAGCCGTGGCTCCGGGTGTGAATGGACACATGGAGCAGTGGGTGCCCCCATAGCCATTGCTGTTGGTGCACATGACAGGAGGAAGGGGCCAGGAGAGCCAGCGGGTGACCTGAGAAGAGGGTCCGGGATGCTTTGTGCAAAAGCACTGCAGACAGCAGGTAAGTAGAATTTTTAACACAGACAATTATAAATAAATAGGCTAAGATCAATTTGAAGTATACAACAGGAATGTAACCTCTTGGCTGCCATTGCTGGCCTTCTCCTGAAAAGGCTAGTTGACTGGCTGTGAGAACTACTGACTAAAAGCAAGCTTGTAGCAAATAGAAAGTCAGAAACTGAATTATTTTCTATATACCACCTCAATGTAATGAAGCCAAAGTATCAGCATGAAAGTCAGATAACCAGCATTTCCAGAAACTGAAGCTCACAGGTTTACTGCATAAAATCCCCAATTATATTTTGGGATTATTCCTCCCCACCCCCAATTCTGTTGACTAAGTAGAAATGAAGACAATAGTTCCATTTTATTTCAGCAGCCAATATTTTACAGGTTTTTAGAAGCACTGCTGGACACTTCCAGCCCCAAAAAGTTGCCTAGGAGACTCAGTTCAGTCCTCCCTCCTTCCTCATGTCTTCCGTGCTGTAGTTTGTGTGGCATCCAGCCCCGTACCAGTTGCCAGTCATGGGTTTTGGGTCTAGAGATGCCACGACACCAAAGTCCTCACATACTCTGTGTAGAATGAAGCGGGCCATCCAAAGGTGGTCACCCATATCAATCCCTTCACAGGGTCCAGTCTGGAACTCCCACTATAGAAAATATAGAAGACAACTCTGAACAGTCTGCACATCACATGGAAACGTAGTCCTATTCCTTGTCTTGGGCAAAGCAGAGTTTAAAAATTGTATTGACATGCATGAAATTTAGTGTAAATGGGCCCACACAGATTGTGGTAGGATTTTAGGTTGGCCCATTTATTGGTTCTTACCTGTGATGGCATAGCTTCAGCATTTGTGCCACAGATTTTGATGCCAGCATACAAGCAGGCTTTGTAGTGGCTTTCCACAATGTCCCGTCCATAGACTTTGTCTGCACCAACTCCACAGCAATAGGGACCTAGAGGGACAGCAAAGGCTATAGGTTATAAAACAAAACTAATTAGATGAGTTTGAATGCAATCTCCAAAACACTAAAAAAAAAACACTAAAAACGTTCTGCTTTTGGGGATCAAAATAAGACCTTACACTGGATTAATCCCCCAATTAGCCTTTGTAGGTGCATTAGAACAGAAGAATTATAATCTAGAGCAATTTAAGAGAACCTACCTATAGCTGACACCTAGGATTTATTTCAATTACTTGGGAGACCTCAGTAGTCTACAATCCTTAACATCAGTTTGTCACATGTACAATGTGGACTCCACAACATAAAAAGGATTTTTTATGCATTTACACAGCTAAGAGCCCCATCAGCTGCTAATGAGGACAGGAGGGTGATTAAACACCATGAAGTAGTCACATGATAAGCTGCACAGGAGAGCCAGATGGCGCTTCTGTTAACACTCAACACTCCCAAGTCCTATGATCTCCCAGGATATTGGGTACCAAGTATTCTCCCCCTCCTCATTTGGCTTTTCACAATATTGTTGCCTTTCTATCCAAACCTTGAGCCTACGCAAGAGAATGGCGTTATTTAGGAATGAGGGGGACATCTGAGGGTAGAGGGCTGAGGAGCGGCACAATATTTCATGTTACACTACAAGGCCACTGAAACAAACACGCGTTTGACACACCCCCTGCAGCAGAAGACTTTAATGGTTAGAGAATCCAAGCACATGGCATTGTAGGAAAGGAGGGATGCAAAATCACTTGGATTTGGGTGCTGCAAGCAGACTGAGGACCCTGGGGCATCCTAAAAGAAATTCTGGTACATGCAGACACCTCTTGGTGCCTTGTTTAGAATCTAAAGAGGAGACTAAGTACTCTGGTATTTCTGGTTGGGGAGGGGGGGTAAGAGATCTGCTTTACTGGTCTAATAAAACCAATGGTAAAAAATCTTACCTTGGGACAGACTAAAACATTTAATGTGAAAATGGCTTAATGTAGCTTAACGTGTAATAAACTGTCTAAATCTTAATCAATTGACTTGAAACTTTGCACAGCCCAAGTTCTCAACGTCCCAAACATGTCCTAGAAGTTTCATAGATTTCAGCCTTCCAAAAAGAAAATGGGGGACATTAAGCTTGTTTTTTGGGGAGCTTAATGTAGCTTAATGTACAAAAAACAGCTTAGATGTTTACCAATCTCCCCCAAATTCACACAGTAGAAGACTCTATCTATGGCAACATATTCTGAAAATTTCAGGTCATTTGGTAAATCACACCAAAAGTTATTCACATTAAGCTATATTTTACAGTGCTAAAACATTTAATGTGAAGAGCTTAATGTAAAAAGAGCTTAACGTACCATAATGTGCCTAAACCTCAATCAATTGACTTGAAACTTTGCACAGCCCAAGTTCTCAACATCCCAAACATGTCCTAGACGTTTCATAGATTTTGAACTTCCACAAAGAAAATGGGGGACATTAAGCTTGTTTTTTGGGGGGCTTAATGTGGCTTAACGTCCAAAAAAGAGCTTAGACGTTTACCAATTTCCCCCAAACTTCACAAAATAGAAGAATCTACATCACGGGTACTGAATTAAAAGTCATGGAGGTCCAGTTTTTAATCCTTTTTTTCTGCAGAGTTCCGAATCTCATTTTTATTCTATGACTCAGGTCATTAACGTCACAGACCCTTTTCAATTAATGTCCTCAGTCCCCCTTTTCCAATTACACCCCTCTATATATCACAACTCCCTTTCACATCAGAGCCCCCAACATTACAGCCAAACTTACATCACATCCCCTTGCAATCATAACCCCATCACAGTCGCCTTTGCAATCACAACCCCCCACATAACAGCTCACCCCTCTTGACATCACAGCCCTCCTCCTCACATCACAAACCCTTCATATCACAGCCCCCTTTTCACATCACAGCCCACCCATAATACAGCTCCCCCATCTTACATCACAGCCCGCCATATCACAGCTCCACATCTCGCATCAAAGCTCCCCCTTCTCACATCACAGCCCGCCATATCACAGCTCCACATCTCGCATCAAAGCTCCCCCTCTCTCATCACAGCCCGCCATATCACAGCTCCACATCTCGCATCAAAGCTCCCCCTTCTCACATCACAGCCCGCCATATCACAGCTCCACATCTCGCATCAAAGCTCCCCCTTCTCACATCACAGCCCGCCATATCACAGCTCCACATCTCGCATCAAAGCTCCCCCTTCTCACATCACAGCCCGGCATATCACAGCTCCGCATCAAAGCTCCCCCTTCTCACATCACAGCCCGGCATATCACAGCTCCCCCTCCCGCATCACAGCTTCCCCTTCTCACATCACAGCCTGGCATATCACAGCTCCCCCTCCCGCATCACAGCTTCCCCTTCTCACATCACAGCCCCCCATACCACAGCTTCTCCCTCTCACATTATTGCCCCACTCAAAACTTTATATTACAGCACCCCCCCCCCCCCATTCTCATCACAGCCCCTTATATCATGGCTCCCCATTCTCACATCACAGCCCCCTATATAACATCACAGCCCCCCATATCACAGCCCCCATATCACAGATTCTCCCTATCACATCACAGCTCCCCAAGTATTACAATTCCCCTCTCTCACAGCCACTCATATCAGAGCTCACCCCTCACAGCTCCATCCTCTCACTTCCCAGCCCCCCATATCACAGCTCCCTCTCTGACATCACAGACCCCCCCCCCCATAATCTCCCCCTAGCTTAACTCAGTGTTGTGGAGGGCTGGGAGAGTGGCAAGTTAGACTCCTCTTCTGGGTGCGCACACCTGCTGCTGCCACTAGGCTCCGTGCCTCCTGCCCTCCTCCTTACTGTGGGTTCAGTGGTGGACGAGTGCATTGGGGGGAAGAGGTTGGGCATACTCCTGTACACCTTACTTTCCTCCAGCCCACTCTGCTGTGACTTCAACAGTGGTGGCAGGTGAGTGAATGTGGGGGGGAGGGGATTCAGGTCTCCTTGCTGTGGGTTCAGTGGCGACAAGTGTATTCAGGGGGAGGGGTCGGGCAACTGCTGCTCCCCCTGTAGACCTTCCATTCCTTCCGCCCGCTCTGCTGCGGTGGGCGGGTGCATGGGGGGTCCAGGTCCCCGTCCACCTTGTCATTTCTCCCACCCTCTGCAGGACAGTAATCCTTAACATCTGCAGTGGTGGGAGGAAATGAGTCCGCTCAGGCTGCTGGGTGGTGCGGCTGAGGTCCAGACTGAACTATCACTTGGTCTGTGTACAGACCGCAGTCCGCCATTTAGTGAAGCCTGCTCTACATGTACCAACAAATTGTGAAAATTTCAGGTTGTTTCATAAAACATGCCAAAAGTTATTCAGAGAGGGAGGGAGAGGGGGAGGGAGAGGGAAAGAGAAAGAAGGGGGGGGGGGGGGACGACGAGACTCTCAATGTTACTACATATCAAGGCTTGACTGGCTCCAATTGCTCAGCTCACAGCACAAGGAGACGAAGCAAAGTGATCACTAAAGCCTGTCAGCCTTTCCCGTACTCTCAGTTGTCAGTAAAGGCAGAGAAGGGCTGTTGGTGCAGAACAGCAGTGGAGGCAGAATTTTCATGGAGGATATTGCAGGTCTGCCAGTGTAGGATGTTCAGCTGCTTTCTCCAGCTGCTTCTCTGCCCCCCCCCCACCCATCTCTAGTTACACTCTCTTGTTCCTCCAGCACAGAATGCCTCTGTCTCTCTATTCCTGGCTCCCCTAATCACTTACAGCTCTCAGACTCTTCCATAGTCATGGTAAGCAGGGCAGACAATGTAGGATGTGGAGCAGCTCAATAGAATAAAGTTGGAGCCTCCTGGCTGTGAATTCTGTGGTTTTGCATATACATCACTGGTTGCTAGATACCAGGCGGTCCTAGCAACCAGTGATTTCACTGGGGGACATTGGACAGCGGCTACCAGAACCAGAAAGCTGGTCTTCCGAAAGCTGGTCTTTAGATGGTACAGCAAACAGAGGATTTTGAGCCAGCTGTTATGCTACCCCAATGTGCAGGCAGCAAGGGTTACAGACTCCCTTGGATGCAGCCTTCAGAGCAGCCCAGGGGGGCTGTCATTCCTAGGACACCACCTCCATGGACGGTACAGACCGGCGGTCTGTGTATCCTGGTCGCCCACTGCAACAAGCAGGGATGGAAATACATCCCTGCTTGCTGGAGAACAGAGCTACAGATGGGATGCACCAAGACCAGTGTCTGTGGGAATAGGAGGCATAGCAGTGATCGGTCTTACTAGAACAACTACTCAGATAACAAGAATATGGATTACATATTCAGGGAAGGCAGGAGATAAGCAACAAGAACATGTAAAAAAAGATTTTGCCCAGAGTTCTCCTTTAAATGTTAATAATCTTTAGTCTGTTTTACCAAACAACCTGAGATTTTTATAATATGTTGGGATAGATAGAGTCTTCTATTGTATACATTTTGAGGAAATTGGATAACATCCAAGTTCTCTTTTGTACTTTAAGCCACAATTAGTTCCCCTAAAAATAAGTACAGCACCCCCTGACCCCCAGAGGCGTAGCGTGGACCCTCAAAGGCAGGGAAGGCTGACATCTTGTTTTCGTGCAGATCCTAGGCCTGTGAAGGGATGTGCGATCAAAGAAAAGTTAGGCGCCAGTCAGTTTAAGTACATCTTTTAATTCTTTATTGGGGAACTTCATAACTGGGAGATAGGACATAGGGTTTAGAACATTCATGTCAAAACTATATTAGAAAAGAACTTCAGACTCACCAGACCCTTTCAGTATTTCACAGTGCAGAATCAATAGGAGCACAAGCCGACACTGGTTATTAGAGGAACAGCTAAATATGGATAGTCATGTGATCTTCAATAGGTCAGACAGACTTGCCCCTTAGGTCCATTCTAGTACCAGGTACCTCCAGTAGCCATCCAGCTTCTCTCATTTTCCTCCTCAATCAGCATGTGAGGCCCTTCTAGGCTTGAGGCCTAGTCAAACCTTTCCTGTACATAAGCATTAC